GTTGCAATTGTTCAGTCCAAGCAATTTCTAATAACTATGCGTGATCAAGTAGGGATGTCAATGGGGTGGGACGGAGCGGATGTTGGCATTTCCATCCTCATCCCCACCTAACATTTTCATCCCCATCCCCGCGAAGAGTCCAATATTCATCCCCATCCTCACCTCGGCGGGTACAACTCCAAAACCATCCTCACCCCATCCCTCACTTGGATATCGATCCCCACCTAATCCCCAACAAAGACATCCCACCCAAGACCCACCTAATCTTTGTCTCTTAAATACAAAATCCTTCATAATTAATACAAATTATTTTTTTTTTTATTTTTTTTTTAAAAAAACATTCTTAATATTACACACATTTTTATTTATAATATAACTGTAGTACAAATTATTATAATTAATATTTTATTCGTAATTATTTTATAATATAGTATAAAAGTATATAAATTTGCTTTTAAAGATATATAGATGTGGGTATAAGGTGAGGATGGGGCGGGTACAACTTAAAATTCGCCCCCTCCCCATCACTCGTGGCGGGTATGATTTTTATCCCCATCCCCGCCCCACCAACCGCCAAACTGAGACCATCGGGGCGGGTCTCCTACTTGACCAGCCCCACAAACATCCCTATGATCAAGGTATTAATGCTAAGGAAGTAAAGATTTTGAAAAATAAAGCATTAATTGTACTAATTCTAAATATGTGTATATGTGATCTGTGCACTCGAGTGCACCATGCAAATAGACGCTACACATAGTTAAAAAAAAATAATGCAAAAAGAACATTGTTATCAATTGAAAAAATTATGATGTATAGAAGAAAAAAACATGTCATTGTTTATTGAGTTCTCATAATAATTTTTCTTGAAAATTAATTTCTTCCGGATATAATTCAAGATTTAATTTTGAAATATCTAAATTTAAAATGTTATTTACAAAATTTCAATTTTCAAAATATTTTTTTGTCATATTTTTCACCAATTTTTTTTTAATAATCCCTCCGTATATATATTTTTTTCCAGCGTTTGTATTTTATTATTTGCTCCATTTCTTTATTTAGAAATATTTTATACTGTAATATGTTACCTATTTCTTCAATCCTAATGGACCCTTAACTATCATACTTTAATACTTTCATATTCTTTCTCTTTCCAACTATCATACTTTATTCTTCCACTAACTCCACTTCTTTCATATTTTATTACTTTAAACTATTTTTCCTAAAGCTCCGCATGGAGAAATGGAGCAAGTAATAAAATACGGAGGTAGTATATAGTTATAAATTCATCTTAATAATGGTCATGTGTATTTCTTGTGATTTTCTTTATATGATTAATAATGTTATTTACCTGAAAAAACATGATGTACTTAAAATTTATTTGTAATGTACAGAAAATTATTAGCACTATGTTCTTTTTATATATGTAATTACTAATTATATATGTAATTACTAATCACATAAATGTTCGTTATTTATTGTTAAATGTTTTTCGATTTTTTTTCTTTGGATCATGCTAGGTATATATAAAATAATGTTCATTGCATAATATCATTAAGTTTTTTCTTAATTATAAATATTACGAATGCTCTTTAGATCCAAAATCAATCACCTATAGAGGAGCTCCTAAAAGATTATTGTCATGATCAACTTTCATCCCAGAATCTCTTGATAACGGGAAAAAAGCTCTAACCACTTGGGCTATCCCTCACTTTCAAATGCTCATGTTCATTGTAAATGTATGTAATGTTCCTTTTTTGCCAATGTTCTTTCCGGGTTCACCCTCCGTATATTGCACTCGGTCACTCGTATGTACCATAAAAAAATAAATTCAATTACAGTTTTTTTTTTTTTTTTGTTGAAAGAGAGGCTACAAACCTCAAAAACAAGAGAAAAGGAAAACAAAGACAAAATAAACAAAGAAGAAAACAGAACTGAAAGAAAAAAAAAAACAAAGCAACAACAACCTAAACTACACGAAACACAGCAAGCACTACGCCTTCTTCTCTAGAACAAGCCGAGCACGAGCCACACCACAAAGGTCCCCCAATAAAATGGCACTAAGATCCCTAGGGATTGCTCCAAACATCACTAATTTCTTAGACGAAGTTATACCAAATTAAAGTTGGCTAACCAATCGGCCACTCGATTGGCTTCCCTATAACAGTGATGCACACGAACTTCCCACCCATGTCTCAAGATAATAGCTTTGCACTTATGAACAATATGAATGAAAGGAGAGTGAGCAGGACACTACTCAAATAATAAACGCACCACCACTTCCGAATCAAGGGAGACTATAACCTTTTTATGCCCTGCATTCCACGCTATTGCAAGCCCACGAAGCACCCCCAGCAGCTCAACTTTCGTATTAGAACAAACCCCATAGTTGGCCGCGAACATCTCGAAAAGCTCCCTTTCACTTCCAATAAAACCACCAGCACCGGCTTGACCTGGATTGCCCTTCGAGGCACCATCAGTGTTGAGTTTTACCCAACCATCTCTTGGGAATTGCCACTCGATAAAAATTTCAGTTCGTTTACTCCCCATATCTTGATCAATCATGCTAGACTTATCAATAGCTCAATTTATATCCCCTACTCTAGCAATGAGGAAGGCTTCCTTGTCAAAGGGAATATTAACATCTCTCGAAAAGACTCTTTCATTCCTCCATCTCCATAACTACCAACAACACACAAAAAACATAGTTGGCATGCTCTCCGCAGCCAAAGATTTACTCGGAGCTATACCATTGAGCAACCAATCAACACATGAAAAAGAGGCTTGAATTTCATAGTTCTTCCAGCCTAACTTATGCCAAACCCATGTAGCAGCAGGGCGCACCTTCGCAATATATGATCTATATTATCTTCTCCAGCTCCAAAAACACCACATTGAGGGTCATTAGTCAATTTGCGAATAAACCTATTGGAATGGTCATTAACCTGTCCCTCATTGCCAACCAAATAAACATATGAATTCTTTGTGGCACTCTAGCCCTCCAAATGCTCTGCCAGCCCTGCATCTGGTCATGAGGTAAATCCTAACTTCTTCTAATAATTTTGATGGCAGAGCTAATGGAGAAGCCCCTTGAAGAAGTACCCTTCCTGAAAATTTCATCAATTGCATCCTCATCTTCAGCTAGCTCGTGAGAAGCAATTGCAGCCAGAGTTTTAGCATCTAGGTAATCCGCAAATAATTCATACTTCCACCCAATGTTTGCATCCCAAAAATCCCTCACAGAAAGGTCTTGGCTTGCTAAGGGAGGCATAGGGTCAACAACTTCCAACAAGGGGGTTTTAAGCGCCCAATTGCGTTTCCAGAAGCTTGTTTTATCACCTCTTCCTGCATCCATGCTAATGCCTTGCTTCAAAATGTCAATATTTTCCACAATTCCTTTCCAGGCATTTGAGGCATCCGACTTTTGATTGACACATGTCAATATCACATCTCCCTCCACAATATTTATTTATGAGAACTCTATACCACAATGCATTCGGTTTCGTCAACACCCTCCATCCTAATTTTGTAAGGAAGGCTGCATTTGCTTGCCTCATTGAACGGAGACCTAATCCACCTTCTCTCTTTGGCTTAGAGACGGTTTCCCATGCCACTAAATGAATTTTACGATGCTCCTCATCACCACCCCAAAGAAAACACCTCTTTTTTTTTTTTTTTAATCAATTTCATCGCAAGTAGAACGAGGTAATTTGGTGGTTTGCATAGTACAGTAAGGGATCGAGGATAAGCAGGCTTGCGCAAGTGTATTACGCATTTACGATCAGCCAGAGATAAAGTCTTGGCCTTCCATTTTGACAAATTAAATTCTAATAAAGATCCGATGAGATTAAGGGGCCATTTTGTTGGGGTTAATAATCAAAGGGAAAGGGAATGAATATGCCTCATTCCCTTTGTTGCTGTTTGTTTGTCATTTTTTTCATTCCCTTTACCCATTTTTATTTTTTACTTTACCCAAAATCCTTCTATCTTGATTCCCCACCCCCTTAGCCTTTTCCATTCCTTTTCCTAAGCCACCACTACACACACCAGCCACTACCTTACCCACTTACCCCTACCGCACAACCACCTCGACGTAGCTCGCCTAGTCCTCGTCGGGTGTCGCCGGAGCTCGCCCAATCCTCGGTGCCGCACCTTCCCATCTCCAAATCAAAACTCGTCGCACCTCCCTCTAAAGAATTCTCCCTTCCCGGAAAATCTTAACTCACCCACGAAAACCCATCCTCGTCCCCTTAAAACTGCCGGCCGTCACCTCCCTTACCCTCGAAACCCTAGCGGCTAGGGTTTCGAGGGTAAGGGAGGTGACGGCTGGCGGTTTTAAGGGGACGAGGATGGGTTTCTAGGGTTTTTTGTGGGCGGGGGGAAGGTTTTCGTGGGCAGGGGAAGGTGGTTTTCTGGGCGGCGAGAGGTGGGGAAAGTGTGGCGACGGGCAGCGATGGTGGAGGAGGTACGACAACGAGCGGTGAGATGGTGGTTGGGTGGTTGAGTGGTTGGAGAAGTCACTACCACCAATGCACAACCCCTCATTCCCATGCCTTTGATTTTTTTTAAAACAAACAACATAGCATAAAGAAAGGGTTTCATTCCATTCTCTTTGATTTCCTTTGTTCATTCCATTTCGTTTACCCGTGTGAACCAAACGACCCTTAAATTAATTCACATCAGATTAAATAGCAAAAATAAAGTTGATTTTTAAAATAAAAAATTTTCTATTAGGTTTTTTTCTTTTTTTTTTTAAAAAAAAAAAAAATCGCTATAAAGGAGAGAGAAAAAGTAAGAGTTTACCTACTCCCAAAGAGCTGACTTCTACAATCAAACCTCTCTGATGTCGTCTTCATGCTTCTTCTTCACTGAGGTTTCGTATCTGAAATTTTCATCCATTTTTTTTCCCATTTTTACAATCTGGGTATTTTAATTTTATTCCAAATTTAATCTGTTTCTGTTTCTTTACTCAATTCAATTGCTTACTTTTTCCGGGTTTGTGATTTTTTGCCCTGTTCTTTTTCAGATTAACTATATAATAATTGAGTTATGGAATTAAATTTAAATTTTCTCTTATATATGATTTTTATTGGACAGTTTTATGATTGAACTGATTTGTGGGGTTTTGTGAGTGTATGTTGCTCATTTTGATGATCCAGTTTAATTATACTTGTTATAATCTTTATTTTAATATAAATAGTGGATTTAATGTTTTTTTTTTTATTGATTGATTTGAAATCTTTAGGTATGTATAAGAAATTGGGGTTTTAGATCTTATTAGTTAGTAAATTGAGTTGGAAGTTTGGATTTTTTTGGGGTTTTACTTCCGATATATTTATTTTCTATAAGCTTATTAAGTATATTACAATGTTATTCATCTATAATTTTATGGGTTTTTGTTTATTTGTTGTCATGAAGGTTTAGGTATTTATATGAATGAAAATTGTTTATGGTCTCATAGACCCTAAGACTTAGGTAGGGCCAAGGGATTTATAATATTTTCTATGAAAATCTTTTTGTGATTGGATGTAAAATGATAAGCTGCCTATTGGGAATTTGCCTGAACTCCTTAGCAAACACGGTTATTGACCGGTTTATGGTGATTAGTGGTAAGGTTGCGCACATTTGATCCTCTCTAGACTTGTTTGTCCTATGAGATCTATATTGAGTGGTGGTTGTTGATACTTGTTAGCTTATATGAGTTTTCCTTCTTTTACCTTTGGGATTATGTTTGAAAAAGTAGCCAATCGTCTGCACAAGCACGGTAACTGGATACTTTCCTCTATGTCATCATCTAGTTTTTCAAGGGACCAATCTTACTTGATGAGTGCAAATAAACTCTATAAAGTTTAATGAGTGCATTAGAGAAACTGCGGGAGTAGACCTTGATGTACTTGTGCCATTTTGTGGTCCAAATAAATACTGTAAAGTTGAATGTCACTTTTGCTCGCTTTTCTATCTACCTTTTATGAATGCCTTTGATGGTAATTTTTTTTTAAAAAAAAATCACTGCATTTGTGGAGGCTCAATTGTGCTCTCCATCTTCTTTTATCTTGTCTTTCTTGAGTGGCTTAAACCTTTACATGTTTTGATAGGTAGTGTTGTCTTCTGCAGAAGTGGCATCATGTATTAAATCATTGCGTAAATTAGTCATTGGCTAGTGTTCGGTGAAGAAGTTGGTTGAGTCTCTTAGTGGCTTGAAAATTGTGAGATTTATGTAATATTGTTCAAGTTTTGGGTGTAGCATGTTCATGGCCTTTCAGTGTTTTTATAAAAGAGGGCCTCAACGAAGCACTGGTGGAGGTGAAGATATTAAGCCTCGATTAAAGTCTTCTGAAATAGTGGAAGTTCAGTTGGATACAAACTGGGATGATATATCTTGTCCAGTATGCTTGGATTATCCTCATAATAGTGTGCTGCTTCAATGCTCATCTTATGATAAAGGATGTCGTTCATATGTGTGCGACACCAATCACTTGCATTCAAACTGCTTAGATCGCTTCAAAACTGCATATGGGATACCTTCACAATCAAATTCACCACCAACATCATTTTCAGTGGGAAATGAAAATTCAGCTGCAGTAGTTCCTGAAAGCAATTGTAAGCCAACTTGTCCATTATGTAGAGGGGAGGTAAATGGTTGGGTTGTTATTGATAAGGCCCGAGAGTATCTGGATCAGAAAAAGCGTTATTGTGAAGAGGAACGATGTTCTTTTGTTGGTACTTTTTCGGAGCTTCAAAAACATGCTCAAGAAGAACACCCTGATTCCCGTCCATCAAAAATTGATCCTGCACGTCAGCTTGACTGGGATAATTTCCAGCAGTCATCAGAAATGGTGGATGTTCTTAGTACCATTCATTCAGAAGTTCCGCGTGGAGTTGTTCTGGGTGATTATGTGATTGAATATGGTGACGATGATACAGCAGACGAGTTCGAGGACTTCCCTGGTGATGAAGGAAATTGGTGGACGTCATGTATCCTGTATCAAGTATTTGATAATCTCCGCAATAGTCGAAATAGGAGGAGGTCAAGAAATAACGATACAAGAAGAGGAAGCCGCCGTTCTAGCAATGATACGTCAAATTCAGATGATGGCTCTGTGACATCTGTAGAATTTCCAGACTATAGAGGAGATGAGTTTGATGATGAATTTATACACTCCAGAGGTCCTGCAAGAAGTAATTTTAATCGCCGAAGGTTAGTTTTAGTCTTTTAGCACTAGTCAATTCTTGTTGGAATATTTTCAGTTTTTATGTGGTTCTACTAGTTTGCTCTCACCTCTAAATTTTCGAACCATATGCTATTTTATTAGTTTCTTCTATGTTTAGTGTTGTTGAATTGGGTATTATGTGTCTACTAGATAGAGTATTTTGTGTATGACAGAAATTTTCTCAATGTTTGCTTCTACATCTCTTCAGGTTTCTTGCCTGCATGTGAATGCAACCTCATAATCATATTTGTCTAATATAAACTGTAAACCATGGTTAACGGTGGTTTGCAAGAGATTTCAAACGACAAACAGAGAGAAATTAGAATTTTCTTCTCATTAAGCTAATATTGATTTGGTGAATTCCAATTTACAGTCATGCAAGTTTCATGTTAGTCAGTGTCTTTTTTTTCTTAAAAGGTGCTGCTTCATTTTTTTTTTTTTGATGCAAAAAAAGGTGCTGCTTCATAGAAGCTACATAGTAAATGTTTTTCATAAAGTAAGTTTCATGTTAGAATTCCATCACTTCCATGTCGTATGTTCTAAAAAGTAAAGCTTTCTTTTGGAAGTATTTTAAGTTCGATCTTTAAAATAAAGAACAACAGAAAATTATCTAAAATATTCATTAACAGGTATTCTTTTTTTATGGGAGGTAAAATTTCTTTTTGCAACATTTGTCTGATTATATTTGACTTTTGTTTCTCACTTGTTCAATTCAGGTTAATTGTACTGCATTGTTGGTTACAATCCTGTCATTCTATCTCTTTGCCCTCACTCACTTGCTTGATAAAAGGTTAAAAGCCTTAATTTTCCCCCCTTTTACATTCTCCATTAGATCATTCTACCTGATCGTCTGATCTTTCATTATTGAAGGCAGATGCATGTACCATGTGTTTTGTGCAACACAAAATGAATTTAAGTCTTGTTTGCATCTCTTGCTGAATTCTTCTAAATTGTAATGATACTGTCTGCAGTTCTCGAAGAAGACGCTCCCGCTTCTATGACCATTAGGTGCATTCGTGCATAACTTGTTGGTACTTATTTTTTTCTTTTTCCAAAGATTAATCTTGCAATGATTTCAGTTTTGAAATATGACTTGTTTTTAGCTGCTTCCTAAAATTTCCAAGTTCATGCTTGAAGCAGAAGCTGAGGGGGAATGATGAAAAAGCCGAAGCAGAAAAGAGTACTGTGATGTTATCTACAGCACCCTGTCTTCCGCTGCAATCAGCTTATGTCAACAATCTCAACATTCATAATCAGCTCATCTAGTTAGATATGAAATCCTAGATGTTAATGGATTTTAGTTCTAGATATAATTTTTTTTCATTGATTAGTCCTCCTTTTTCCGTTGCTTCGAATGGAATTTTAGAGATAAAAAATATCTGGGTTTTGTTTGCCTTTTGTAAGAAACTTTGGGGTAATGCATGTACATATTTCATGGTAAATATTAGATTTTGCTTTCCTTTGCTTAGTTTCTCGAAATGGCAATCTTAAGAGTTTGGATCTACACATGTCTATCATACACTCGGTATGCTTGGAGGTACACTCAAGTGTATGTAGAAAATGTAATGTGTTGGTGTTTCTATATATGAAGCTATTATAAATGAAAGTTAGCAAGTGATGTTGCAATTAGAGCATATTTTTAGTGCTTATTGAATGTTTTATGTTTTTATTTATTGCGTGAGATATATTTTCTTCTTATCCTAGTAGATTCTCATCGACCATAATTTTGGTCAACAGGAGAAGTTTAAAAATACATACAGCAAATTAGGAGACATATATGGTGGATGCTTGTTTCAGGGTCTTAATCATCAAACTTGGACCAAGTATAGTTGGTTAAAAATAGATTTAAAAAACACACCAATTATTGAATTGCGGCAAATTGTAACAATACTTGCGAGAAAAAGAAGGGAGAGCAAGTCTAAATTGATTTTTTAACGAGTTGGTCAATATAGAAAGTATTTATTCAAAAAATAAAATAAAAATAGAAAGTAATTAATGTTGTAAAATAAGGGGAAAGATGAGAGATTGAAAAAGAATATATCATTGTACTTCTATTCCATATAATGGGGTTTATATAAGAATATAAAACCTAGATCTAGATTGTTCCGGAATGATACAAAGGAGGATAATGGATAACCAACAAATATTTCATAACACTCCCCCTTGGATGTCCATTATCGAAGATTGTGGCTCATTAAAACCTTACTACGAAAAACCCTATGGGATAAAAACATAGTGAAGGAAAAAGAGTACATCATTTTTCGTAATACGCTCGAGATGTTGTCTCATTAAAAACCTTACCAGGAAAACCCAATTTGGGACAAAACCATGGTCAAGGGAAAAAGAGTGCAGCGCGTATTTTTCTCCCCCTGATGAATACATAACTTGAGATCTTCTAGTGTCGCAACAATGAATCCAATATGTTGGATATCTTCTAATAAGTGGTAAAATATCACTTGTTGATCTTCGACTCTCCTAAGCTGAAGTTGCATCTTCAATTCTTCAAGTCTTCATGTGAACATGTGAAGTGTCTTCATTTCACCATATAGTGTTTCTCTAATATCACCATTTCAAATCTCTGTTTAATAGTTGATTCAAAGGATAAAATTTTACGGTTATGACTTCTTCTGGAAGTCGTTGATAATAAATATTGATGATCATTATTTGACCAAACATTCATTAATACGAGTAATAATTTGATGACAAAACTTAGCTTGATACTATTATCATTCTTCTCATATGAATTATAATATACACACGTAATTATATACGCTAATTATGGTTCTTCTGGACCATAAAAAATTGTTAAGTGATCCATTGATATTTTTTAGACGTTTCATAATTGACACGATAGCTCTCTTGCAAATACAAATAGTTAATTTCATTAACTCTCATATGCTCAAACTTCAGGTTGAGATGTTAATTATATTGTCACGTACATAGATTTTCAAGAGTTTGATAATAATTGCAAATTCAAGATATAAACTTTGTAGGGCTGGATATTACAATAGGTCGTATATAAGTTCTTCAGGAACTCTTCTTAATTCATAATGTGCAATTAAATCGGTGTCATCAATAATTTCATCACAATTATAAGCCCATTGGAATATTAATCTCTTTCTAATTTTCAATCAAAGTTGTAAACATACCTTACTATACTTTGAATGAACATTTACATACACCACAGTTATTGTATGAAATTAATACATGCAATATGAGATATAGAAATATGATAACATATTAACAAATATACAATGAGTAATGCATCTAACAACTTCCTATATATGCAATAAATATCCATTAACTTATGACTCACTCATGCACATGAAAATAAGACTCAAAATGATGCAAGACACTGTACAGTGTGGATTTAAAATCCATATTTCATTGGACTTCGGGTCCATGATAAACTTATGATCATTATCATTATGTCGACATCAAAATGTACATATATTTCAGATCCCTTACTTATTAGTCCATTCCATTATGCATATGCATATTATTCATCGGTTCCATTATGTACCGGTATCATAAATTCCTTTAACTTACATTCCGCATGTTATTTTACTATGATATCTGAATACATTTCTCATTGGTACCATCATAATTTTTCTTATATCATAGGTCATCTATTATAATTTCAGATATCTATACTACTTTAAGATATTTCATACACTATGATATTTATATACTATTACACTATAAGTGTCAACTGCACTATCTTGCTAAATATCATATCTATTAAACATATCTTTATTTTGGAACCGATCATATAACCTACACTTCAGGTGTATTGATTCAAGTACAATTGGCAAGATTTTCTCAATGTATACACATAATTAATATGACCAAAATGTATCTTCAACGCTATGCAACATGAGTCATAACTGAATACAAATCAATCATAAATGTGCAACATATCTTGATAATAATATATAAAAGTTGGCATATATATAACTTTTCAAACTACCATTATAGGGATCATATATATTATTTATTTATTTTGATTTTCCAACTTTTGCTATTTCTTCTTCCCCTAAGTTGGTAATATATCTCTTTTATAGGGGCGTCTAATTCTTATACCAACTTAGTATATAAATTTGCATTAAAATTCATTTCACTGGGAGGATCACAATCAAATTTATCTCTTTTGGAGAACAATTTCGATGAAGAATCATTTATTCATTAACTTTATATTCATGTGTATTTATTATTAAATTTTCAATAATATTTTATCTTCTGAGATCAATGTCAATGGGGAGACATATGTTGCAGTTGTACGTTTTTCTTTCTTCTCCAATTTAATATGTGCTGACATATAATAACCCCAATCAAAAGAATTGTTATACAAGCATAAATCACTTGCTCGTAATTCTAATAGGTGATGATCTTTTGGATCATTAAAGACTTACACTACTACATTTGAGAGCTAATCCAACCCCTATTTCCGTTGTATTAGGTGTTCAAAACCGTTGTAATAATACACGGCTAGCAACCGTCACATTTGCTAGGGTTGGATTAGGTCTAATACAACGGTAAGGAACCTAATCCAACGGATTGCTCAGTCCGTTGGATTAGGTTCCTTTCCTCTTTTTTTGGAGTAACGGAACCTAATACAACGGATTGCGTCTTTCTTCCGTTGTATTAGGTCTTTCTTTTTTTTTTTTATTATTATTATTATATTAGTATTATTATATTAATATTATTATTAATATTATTATATGTCCAAAATCCTGTCCAGATTGTCCAAGCCCAGAAGTTCAACTGATCAATGTCTTCGCATCGTAATTTTGGTATTGATACATCTCTAAATCATTAGAATTTAAAATAAGAAAAACTAAGTTATGAAAAATTGAAAAACGAAGAACGAAGAACGAAAAATTGAAAAATCTGAAACGAATATCAAAAAA